TTTTGTAGAGATGGGGTCTCCTTATATTGCCCAGATCCCCACTGGCTGATTCTTGCCCAGAAACCAATTCTCTGATGCCCGCGCCTATTGTTTCAGGACATCACATCTCTTATCTTCAGTAGCAGGATTGATAAGTTTCCTTTCCAGTAAACCTATGTGACTTGTCATCCTTCTGATAGCTGTTATAGGAGGGAATGTAAAGAAGTTCAAATCAATGTGTGGATGACAGATTTTTGTTTTGTTTTGTTTGAGACAGAGTCCCTGTCACTCAGGCTAGAGTGCAGTGGCGCAGTCTGAGCTCACTGAAGCTGTGACTTTCCGAGCTGAGGTGGTTCTTCCACCTGAGCCTCTTGAGTAGCTGGGACCACAGTTGTGCACCACCACCCATGGCTAATTTTTGTATTTTTTGTAGAGATGGAGTTTTACCATGTTGTCCGGGCTGGTCTTGAATCCCTGGGCCAAGCGATCCACCCACGTTGGCCTCCCAAGGTGCTAGGATTACAGGTGTGAGCCACTGCACATGGCTGAATGACAGATGGGTTCTAGGAAAGGAAGAACTCTTTGGGTTACTTCCTTATCAGTGAGAAGGCAGTGCTGCAGTGCCACGTGGGAGGAGGAGCCGGCATCACAGGCTGGCTGGGATTAAGCTGTTCTCTCCCTGGTCTTTCTGAAGGAGAGTGTGCCTGTGTCCAGTTACCAGCAGGCAGGAATTCCTGTGGACTTGAAGAGGAAGATCGCACGGCTGGGGATCAACATGCTCCTGAAGATGGTGAGCTCATGGCTGGAGCGGGCTCAGGCCCAGCATGTGGTCAGCTTGCAGATGGGGAGTGGGCTGGGACTCTGGCTATCTGGGTGGGAAGGAGAGCCAAGCAGCAAGCTGCCAGGTTGAGAAAGTCTGGTCTAGAAAGAGTGGAGGCTACCATAAATGGCCATATGTCCATGGTGTCTGTGAAGCACTTTTTTTTTTTTTCCTTTTTTAAGATAGGGTCTCATTCTGTTGCCCAGGCTGGAGTACAGTGGCAAAATCTCCACGCACTACAGCCTCAACCTATTGGGCTCAGGTGATCGTCCCTCCTCACTCCTCAGCCTCCTGAGTAGCTGGGACTACAAACATGAACCACCAACCCTGGCTAATTTTAAAAATTGTTTTGTAGGGGCAGGGTTTCACTATGTTGTCCAGGGGAGTCTTGAACTCCTGGGCCCAAGTGATTCTCCCACCTTGGCCTCCCTCCTAAAGTGTTGGGATTACAGGCATGAGCCACTGTGCCCAGCCTCTTAAGTACTTTGTCAGTGGCTCAGGCTCTGTGTGCTGTGGGCAGAAGGGTGACCATGACCCAGTTCTGCCAGCATTGCCTGTAGTTTAGCGAACAGCTGAGACAATATCATATTTTAAATGCTGCTTTGCTCATTTGTTCAGCACATGTTTATTGAGCACCTGCTAGGTGCCAAGCACTGAATTAAGGGCTGGGATTACAGTAGTGAGCAAAATAGACACAATTACAATGCTCATGACATACTGTTCCTTGGGAAGACAGGCTACGACTAAGTCACTGATTTATAGGGATAGGTGCAGGGTGCCAAAGGGTCATTTCGGAGGGGCTTATGCTAACCCAGGGATTCACTCAGGAAGTGGCTCCATCTTGGCTGCAGTGTGAAGGTCTAGGTGTCACTGCATAAGGACAGGTGGCAGGGAGTTGTCCAGAGAGAACAGCTTTTGCCGAGGCCTGGGTGAGCTACTGCATGATGCCCTTGGAGAGATGAAAGCACTTAGTATGGCTTGCAAGAGAGTTTGAAGGAGGAGCAGTGATTGCTGAAGCTGAGGAGGTGAAAGGGGCCTGATCACGAAGGGTCTAGTAAATATATGAAAGAGTTTGGACTTTAATCCAAGGGCAGATAAGTTCATTTTGAAGCTTTTTGCCCTTAACTTTAAAAAATTGAATTCCAATAATATTTAAATATAAGGTACTCAGATCTTAAATGATGCTTAGTGAATTTTTAAAAAGCATCCCAATGCCTAGATTAGGACATAGGAGAGTTTTGGCTGGGCGCAGTGGCTCATGCCTGTAATCCCAGCACTTCAGGAGGCTGAGGCGGGGAGATTGCTTGAGCCCAGGGGTTTGAGACCAGCCTGAGCAACATTTCGAAACCCTGTCACTACAAAAAAAAAAAAAAAAAAAAAAAAAATTAGCACCAAAAATACAAAAACTACCACCATGAGGTGGTGGTAGTCCCAGCTACTCGGGAGACTGAGGCAGGGGAATTGCTTGAACCCAGGAGGCAGAGATTGCAGTGAGCTGAGATCACGGCACTGCACTCCAGCCTGGCGACAGAGCTCCATCTAAAAAAACAAAAACAAAAACAAAAAACCCTAAAAAGACATAGGAGGTTTTTATGCTGAGGAATGCCCTAATGTCACAACCTCATGTCCGCTTCATGGAGTTGGAGCGGGAGGGTGAGACGAGAGTCAGGGGAGCCAGAAGGTAGATTTTGATTCTTGGACATTTGAACATGTTCAAGTGTTTCCACCTCCTAAGAACTCTTGGTAGGTTTTGTCTTTCCTGTATCTACCAGCGAGGATTCTGAAGGCCCCCCAGCTGAAGAAGGGCCTGGCTGCATCAGGAGGGCATTCTTTGTTTCACGAAGGCCAGAGCCTTTTTTAGACAAAAACAGGGTGTTTTTGTCTACCAGGGGACACCTGGTGATGTCTGGAGACATTCTTGGTTGTTATAGTTGGGGGTCGGGGGTGCTACTGGCACCTGCTGGGAAGAAGCCAGGAGCTTACCACCCCAGAGTGCAGGGACGGCCGTCCCCACCCCCAGCAATAGACTGAGAAACCCTGGGCTGGAGGGATGGAGAAACTTACAGGCACAGGGACAGGATTTGATGGTGCTTCCATGGGAAACTTTCTATTTCCTTGTGAACTAAGAGGGGCCATTGTTCTCTGCTGAGAGTAGGATGCAGAGGGTTGTGGGAGAGGAGGTTTAAAGAGAATACAGAGGTTTGAAACTGCTGCCCTGGGACTAGAAAGAGCTACTTGGAAAATGTGGATGGTCGTCAGGAGGGGCAAGCCATGTTGGTGTGGGAGAGGCAGAGGGGTATTTTGCCTATTTGCAGTGTAGCCTGGGGGTTAGGAGCTGGGAGCCCAGAGCAGGATTTGTTTTGAGTTCAAATCTCAGCTTCCAGCTTACTAGCTCGGGGCAGAGAGGAGTGTCTGGGGCAAGTTACTTAACCTTTGTCCTCAGGCTTCTTATCTTTCAAAAGAGGATAAGAAGTGCCTTCCTCATAGGGTCCGCATGATGGTTAAAGGAGTGGAAATTCCTAAGAAGCCACAGTGAGTCCTAAGCCACGCTAGTTATGGCTGCCTTTATTGGTAGTAATTGTGACCTAGCATTGTTAGCAGCCCCCATGCAGGACCAAAGGAAGAAGATCTTAGATTGTTGGGGGTCTGGTCTTTCTGGTGGTTGGGACAGAGGACAGTGGTTGAAGGGATGGATGACAGGAATGGGCGACAGGGTCGAGGTGGATAGGGAGGAAGAATACCTAGGTCTCAGAGGCAAGGAATCATGGTAGTGAAGACCCAGGCATGTGGTGAGAGCTGGAGAATGAATTGAGGAGTCAGAGATGGAGCCGTGGGTGGAGGCACATTTGGAGTCCCCACAGCAGGGTTGCTCAGAACAGGTGGAGTCCTGCAGGCTGACAGCACGCACGCACGTGCAGAAGGCTGAGAGCCGTTGCAGGGGTAGGCTCAGGTGACTCCTCTCCAACCCCAACTCCACTCCATCCCAGGGCCTGTGGGATGGGGAGTCAGCAGCTCCCACCCCTCTGGCTCCTGGAGAAGCAGGATTGTTGAGGCACACCTAGGTTTCAATTCAGTAGTTGCAGTTAGAACCTAGTGGCAAGAGGACTTTGTCCACAGGAACAGGGCTCCAAGGGGCACAAGAGGGATGTAGCCAGGGGAGAAGCAGCATGAAGCAGCACCAGGAGAGGAGAGAGGATGAGAGGGCTCCAGTTTTGGGGTCAGGATCGGGGCATGAGACCCTGGGTGGAGCTGAAGGCAAGGTTCCAGAAGATTCAGAAACTTAAAAAAAAACAAACAAACTGAATTACAGCAACATTCTAGAAAGTGCATAGATCTTAAATTATGCTCAGTGAAATTTTAAAAGTATACCAGGCCAGGCCAGGCCAGGCATGATGGCTCACTCCTGTAATCCCAGCACTTTGGGAGGCTGAGGCGGGCAGATCACTTGAGGTCAGGAGTTGAGACCAGCCTGGCCAACGTGGTGAAACCCGTCTCTACTAAAACTACAAAAAATTAGCCAGGTGTGGTGGTGCCTGCCTGTAGTCCCAGCTACTTGGGAGGCTGAGGCAGGAGAATCGCTTGAACCCAAGAAGTGGAGGTTGCAATGAGCTGAGATCAGACCATTATACTCTAGCCTGGGCAACAGAGTGAGACTCAGTCTCAGAAAGAAAAAAAAAAAGTATACCAGGGCCAAGATTAGTGACCTACTTAGGAGGTGCTAGCCTTGCTGGAGGGTCAGCCCAGCCTTTGGTGACCATGTCCTGCAGGTGTGCAGGTTCTAGCCCCCTAAGTCCCAGGATTTTCACATGGGTAGCAGCTTCCCTTATCCCTACCAAAGCTACAATCTGGATTAGGACCGTCCTTTCATGGTCTGCCGCCATGAGGGATGGGGTCTATGGCCTGGATCTACAGGGAGGAAGGATCCACGGTGCTTGGGGCCCCGTGTCAGCTGGAAGCAGTCCCGAGAGCCCATCCACTAGCAGCTGTTCTGCTCCTGCCTTGGTCTCTCCTCTCATCTCCTGTGGAAGGATTGCTGGGGTTTCTCTGACCTCTGAGATGACCGATTATTGGAGGCTGATTCCTGTTCCACAAGCCATGCCTGAATCCAACACAATCCCTGGGGGTTGCTGTCCAGTTTAGCAGGTTCAAAGCTGTGTCCTTCCTGCTCCTCCAATTCTGCATGCCAGTATGTCCTGAGAACTGTGTCCTCCTCCACAGAAGGGCTCCGTGTGCATGTGGCTGCTAGTGGCACTCGCTCTCACACCTCACTGATGTGGACAGGTTGAAGTAATGGAGGGAAAGTCTGATTTATGAGCTGTTTTTAAAGAAATGCAATTCTATGAGTTTTAAGAACATAGAGGTTTGGGGAAAATCTATTTTTTTTTTTTTTCTTTTTTTGAGATGGAATCTTGCTCAGTCGCCCAGGCTGGAGTGCAGTGGCGCGATCTTGGCTCACTGCAAGCTCTGCCTCCCGGGTTCACGACATTCTCCTGCCTCAGCCTCCCGAGTAGCTGGGACCACAGGCACCCGCCACCGTGCCCGGCTAATTTTTTTTTGTATTTTTAGTAGAGACGGGGTTTCACCATGTTAGCCAGGATGGTCTCAATCTCCTGACCTCGTAATCCACCCGCCTTGGCCTCCCAAAGTGCTGGGATTACAGGCATGAGCCACCGCGCCCGGCCGAAAGTCTTTAATAAGTAGCTAATTATTTTAGTTAGAATATTAATGATTCAACTCATAAAGTAAAAATAAGGCATTTCAAATGCAGTTTGGCCTTAGGCTTTTTATTTTATTTATTTTTATTATATATTTTTTGAGACGGAGTCTCGCTCTGTTGCCCAGACTGGAGTGCAGTGGCGTGATCTCGGCTCACTCCAACCTCTGCCTCCCAGGTTCAAGCCATTCTCCTGCCCTGCCTCTACTTGGTAGCTGGGATTTACAGGCATGTGCCACCACGCCCAGCTAATTTTTGTATTTTTAGTAGAGGCAAGGTTTCACCTTGTTGGCCAGGCTGGTCTTTAACTCCTGACCTCAAGTGATCCACCCACCTCAGTCTCCCAAAGTGCTGGGATTACAGGCGTGAGCCACCACACCCAGCCTTATTTATTTATTTTTACAAGGCGGGGTCCTGCTGTGTCACCCAGGCTGGAGTGCAGTGGCATGATCATAGCTCTTGAACTATGATCTTGAACTTGAGTAATCTTGAACTCCTGGGCTGAAGTGACCCTCCTTCATTGGCCTCCCAAGGTGCTGGGATTATAGGTGTAAAGCCACTGAGACTAGCCCCTTTATAATCTTTTTAAAATGCTTTGAAAATAATTTTTATTTTGAAACTTTAACTTAGCTCATCCTGTACAAATTCTGAGTTGACATCTAAACAAGAAAGGTCTTTAGGACGTGCACCTCTTTGTGGCTGATAGATTGCTGGGAATTTATTGTCACCCAGCAACTTTCTTTCTGTGTGGCTTGGTGGTGCTCTAGGGGTGACTCACTCATGAGCAGTGTGATCTCCTTCCAGATATTTGTGGATAACTTTGTGCATGCGGACCTTCACCCTGGAAACATCCTGGTCCAGGGTGCCGACAGCCTGTCCTCGAGTCGGGAGGCGCAGCTGCAGCAGGCGGATGTCTGTGACACTCTGGTGGTGGCCGTGCCATCTTCCCTGTGCCCACTGCGACTGGTGCTGCTGGATGCTGGCATTGTGGCGGAGCTGCAGGCCTCCGACCTGAGGAATTTCCGGGCAGTTTTCATGGCTGTGGTGATGGGGCAGGTGAGACTCACTGGGACCACAGAAGTTGGGGTGAATTTTTTTAAATTAAAAAATTTGGTGAGGCATGGTGTCTCAGACCTGTAATCCCAGCACTTTGGAAGCCTGAGGCGGGAGGATTGCTTGAGCCCAGGAGTTCAAGGCCAGCCCGAGCAACACAGTGAGACCCTGTCTCTATAAAAAATAAGACAATAGGCCAGGCACAGTGGCTCATGCCTGTAATCTCAGCACTTTGGGAGGCCAGGGCGGGTGGATCACTTGAGGTCAGGAGTTCGAGTCCAGCCTGGCCAACATGGTCTCTACAAAAATACAAAATTAGCCGGGCATGGTGGCGTGCGCCTGTAATCCCAGCTACTTAGGAGGCTGAGGTAGGAGAATCGCTTGAACTCCAGGGGGCAGAGGTTGCAGTGAGCTGAGATCAGGCCACTTCACTCCAGCCTGGGTGAAAGAGTGAGACTCCATTTCAAAAAAAAAGGAAAAGAAAAAGCCAGGCTTGGTGGTGTGCACCTGTGGTCCCAGCTACTTGGGAGGCTGAGGTGAGAGAATCGCTTGAGCTCAGGAGTTCAAGGCTGTGGTGAACTAGGATTGCATTGCTCTCCAGCCAGGGTGACAGAGAGAAACCTTGTTTTTATTTTAAAGTTTCAAAAAATTAATGGAGATGGGGTCTTGCTATATTGTGCAGGCTGCTTTGGGCTCAAGCCATCCTCCCATCTCAGCCTCCTGAGTAGCTAGGACTACAGGCTGGGTGGAGGGCAAATCTTTTGTACTCTGGGGAATGCCTCTGTCTCTGTCTTTTTTTTTTTGAGACAGAGTCTCACTCTGTCACCCAGGCTGGAGTGCCGTGGCGTGATCTCGGCTCACTGCAACCTTCACCTCCTGGATTCAAGCAATTCTCCTGCTATGCCTCGTGAGTAGCAGGGATTACAGGCACATGCCACCATGCCTGGCTACTTTTTGTATTTTTAGTAGAGATGGGGTTTCACCATGTTGGCCAGGCTGATCTCGAACTCCTGACCTCAGGTGATCCGCCTGCCTCAGCTTCCCAAAGTGCTGGGATTACAGGTGTGAGCCACTGCACCCGGCCGGAATGTCTCTGTCTTGACACAGGACAGGTCTCATTAGCCCAGTCATTCTTATCAATGCTCACACTTGCCAGCCTGCCGGAAACGAATGGAGGGAGGCAGGAGGACAGGAGGTTAGGCTGCCCTTACGGGACTTTCTGTTAGCAGGTGTTGGGTGCGAATCAGGCCAGTTCTGAGTGGCAAATGGTTTGGGACCATGGGAATAAACAAGTGCTGTTTCGTGTTAGTAATTTCTGGTCCTTCTCCAGCAAACATCCAGCTGGTCACCAGGAACGCTGGCTTCTTGACCAGATTATGGCTGCCCTTGGTGTGTGCTACCTGCTTCAAGGTGGCAGGCTGGTGAGATGCGATAGCATAGAGAACACAGCCTCTAAGTGGGGCACAGCATGCTGGCACGTCTGATGTGGGGACATGAGTAGTTTTTGCAGCCTCCCCTGTAATTCTGAGGGGCTGCAGTGGTTGAGAATGATTATTCAGAGAAAAGGCATTCGGCAAGGCCTCTGCAGAGTCAAGTGAAAGGACTACATCGAGGGTGACTGTGAGGAGATGCTCTGGCCAGCTGGCAAAGAATTCTCCAGCAAGAAGAACGCTGGAAAAAAGAGAACTGTGTTTTTTTTGTTTTTTTAAAAAAATTAATTAATTAATTATTTTTTTGAGATGGAATCTCACTCTGTCACCTGGGCTGGAGTGCAGTGGCACAATCTCAGCTCACTGCAACCTCTACCTCTCAGGTTCAAGTAATTCTCCTGCCTCAGCCTCCCAGGTAGCTGGGATTACAGGCGTCTACTACCACGCCCGGCTAATTTTTGTATTTTTAGCAGAGATGGGGTTTCACCATGTTGGTCAGGCTGCCTTGAACTCCTGACCGCAGGTGATCCACCTGCCTCGGCCTCCCAAAATGTTGGGATTAAAACAGCAAAATGCAGGACAGTCCCCGCCTCAGAGAGGGCAAATCCAAAGCTGGGGCCTGAAGTTGGTTTGAAAGTGTCCCCTGGGCCAAGGTTAAGCACTGAGGTGCAGTGCAGCAGGAGTGGGGGCATTCCTCCCTGTGGGTTTGGGCAAAGGGAAAACGTCACAGCCCAAGGAGGAAGAGCCAAAAGCAAGATGCCAGAAAAGTCAGGGTGGAGCTGCTGAGATGAGAAAGACGCTTGGGCACCGTGTCCAGGTTTATGCTCGCTCCACTCCAAGTCCCTTTTCTTTTGCATCTTTCAGGGCCAGAGAGTGGCTGAGCTGATCCTGCATCATGCCCGGGCCAGCGAGTGCAGGGATGTGGAGGGGTTCAAAACCGAGATGGCCACGCTGGTGACCCAGGCCAGGAAGAACACCATCACCCTGGAGAAGGTGGGCAGGTTACTTGCGGAACAGGGGCCGGGGTGTCCATACCTGGCCTGGGGCAGAGCAGATCCTGGGTCTAAGGGAGATCTCTTTATGAGGGGTGTGAGTGTTAAAGCAAAAAAAGAGCCACCCCACATCTTCCAGGCATGAGGAGGCCCAATGAAGTTCCTGGTGCTCAAGGGGGCCTCCTTGTGCAGTGCCACTTAGGAGGCTGCAGCTCCTTCCTCATCCAGGGTCACTGTTCATTTGGGGACAGCCAAGCACACAGGGAGGGAGGACTGTGGTCTCCAAGCAGCCAAATGATGTGCCCAATGCGCATGTCCCTTATTTAAACCCAAGCCAGAGCCTGCTTTGTATTTTACACATAGTTCTAGCAAATGTGACTGTTTTATCCCCAAGTTCATGGCCACATTAACAGGAATGGGTCAGACAAGGAGTGGCCACTGGCACGCTGGCCCTGCTGATCTAGTCTATCTAGGTGTGATTATTTTTTTAAATTTTTTTGAGACGGAGTCTTGCTGTGTCACCCAAGTTGGAGTGTAGTGGTGCGATCTTGGCTCACTGCAACCTCCACCTCCCAGGTTCAAGCAAATTCTCCTGCCTCTGGCTCCTGAGTAGCTGGGACTACAGGCATCTGCTACCACGTCCGGCTAATTTTTATATTTTTAGTAGAAATGGAGTTTCACCATGTTGGCCAGGCTGGTCTCGAACTCCTGACCTCAAGTGATCCTCCCGCCTTGGCCTCCCAAAGTGCTAGGATTACAGGCAGGTGTGATTTTTGTGGTTGCTTCAGGGATGGGGTGGGTGGGGCTCAAAAGCTTGTCCTCCAAAGGCCTCTGTGACCGAGTCTTGAGGTGGGAGTTGGACTTGTGCTGGAGGAGTCCTTTCCAAGTTTGTCAGATGGTCCCTTTTGCGCTCACTGATGTATGTATGCCCTGGTAGGGGAGTGGGGTGGGATCCTGGGGCTCAGAGTGTGTGGGTGGTGGGAAAGAATCGGTTCTGGAAGGCTCTGTGGTCTGCATTAGCCTTTATTTTGTTTTTCCAGCTTCATGTGTCCAGCCTTCTCTCCAGTGTCTTTAAGTTGCTGATGACCCACAAGGTGAGGGCCAGTCAGAGAGGAGGTCTCTGGGGAAGGTGGGATGGGGCAGGGTGGGAGGGGAGGACACAGGGTAGTGGGAAGTGCTTCTATTATATGTTGTTTTTTTTTTTTTTTTTGAGACACAGTCTCAATCTGTTGCCCAGGCTCGAGTGCAGTGGCACAATCTCGGCTGACTGCAGCCTCTGCTTCCCGGGTTCCAGTGAGTTTCTTGCCTCAGTCTCCTGAGTAGCTGGGATTACAGGCACGCACCTCCACGCCTGGCTAATTTTTGTATTTTTAGTAGAGACGGGATTTCACCATGTTGGCCAGGCTGGTCTCAAACTCCTGACCTCAGGTGATCCACCCTTCTCAGCCTCCCAAAGTGTTGGGATTACAGGCATGAGCCACTGCGCCCGGCCTATTATATATTTTGAAGGCATTTTTAGTAACAAGCCATTTGCAACAAGTGCTTTGTAGCACAGTTAGTCTGTGTATCTGTCAAGTCTAAGTATCTGTGACATTTAAATGTAGAAACGTGTATTTTAAAATGTAGAAACAGCCTCTACCTCTGGCTTTTCATGTCTTTCCCTCCTTGGTTCACATTCTTGATGCTTGTGTTAATGTAAATCATGCTTAGCTCTTTCCTGGTGGAATGAAGTCCTGGGGTCCAGGGTCCACTCGAGAGGGTCATGCCTCTTGTCCTGGTGCTTTCAGAGACCCTAGCGGGACTGTTGTGGCCCCTGCCTGGCTGCTGCAGTCTATTAGAGGGAGCTGGCCTCATGGTTCATCTTAGCCTGTGCCCTGGCTCTGTTGCCTTGTCATGGAGCCTAGTCTCGGGCACTCTTTAAAGTAAGGCTGCTGGCCAGGGGCAAGCAGTGTTGAAGGTGGAGAAGGGAGGACCTTGTCAGAAGATGGCCCTTTCCATTGCATCTGTTGAGGGTCTACATTCTAAGAAGGAAACATTACGTGGAAATGGCAGCAGCTGGCAAGAATAATAACACAGAAGTAAGAGCCAGAAAGGAGCTTTGTGTCTGCTCTGGCCCCTTCATCCTGCAGTGGGTATGCTGGAGGACAGGTGGGCAGCTCATCTGGTCGACCTCACAGCAGAGCCAGGGTTTGTCATAGGACCCAGGACCCAGGCCAGGTGCTGGCTCTGCTGCTCCCACAGTGCTCTGCAATAGCCATGTGCTTGGGACTCAACTGAGATACAGACCGAAGGGTCCCTCAGGACTGACGGGAGCAGTTAGGGCCCCCAGGAGTGATGGGAGCAGTTAGGGCTGCCACTGGTGTGTGTGTGAAGCTCACCATCTGGGAAAGGCCAGGTGCTTTCCACACACCTCAGCTCAATCTCAGGACAGTCCCACAGGCGGGTAGGAGCCCCACGGTTTTGTCCCCACCAGGAGACGGAGGACAGAGGTTAAGTAACTATCCATGTCCTGTGCATGGTGAAGCCACAGTCTGGACCCCTGTCTCTCTAACTCCAGAGCTTGGACTGGCTTTGTTGGTGGGGTTTTTTGTTTGTTTTTAGTTTTTGGTGAAAAACTTTTTTATGCTTTCTAAAACTTTGGCAAAGTTCTGTTGTAAAAACAGCTTAAGTGTTGCCTTAGTCTTAGGGGAGAGCCTCAACCATTGCTAGCGAGTGGCTCAGGGAGGAACAGGAATGGATGGTGCACTCTTGGGAGCTGAGAGCACGGGGCCTGGAGCAGGCGGAAAGGCTCACGTCAGCCCCTTCGCCCAGCAGCGCTGACCTGTGCCAGCAGTTCTCAGCCCGCAGAGGCCGTGGTGATTGTACTTACAGGGCTGTGCTGTGGCCCCCTCTGCTTGCCCTGTGGTACCGCCCTTAGCTATATGACATCTATTAGTATCCAGTTTATCCCCTCAGTGTTCCAAGAGGCAGGCACCAAAGCTGAGAGGCCGAGCAGCTCACCTGTGGCCACATGGGCCGAGCCCCCGCCTGCTGCTGGGTCCTCCTGCCTCTGTGGCTCACTCTGAACATCTGCTCCCCACATAGTTTGGGGCATGGTGGGTGAGGGGCCTTGAGTGTTTGCTGCTGCTGTTCCTAGGATGGAAGAGCAGACAGAGGGTCTAGGGCAGCTACTGCTTTCTAAGCACTTCACTAGGCACTTAAGTTTGAAAACATTTACAGATTTTTCATTGTGATGAAAAACACAGAAAATTTACCCCCCAGCCCTCTCCAGATGCATAGTATAGCATTGTGCAAATTGACTAGCTCCCCATTCCCCTCTCCACCCAGCCCTGGGAAACACCATGCTGTTTTATGTTTCCATGATTTTGGCTACTCTAGATATTTCATATAAGCGGAATTATACAGTATATTGTCCTTTTGTGATTGGCTTGTTTTACTCAATATAGTGTCCCCAGGTTTCATCCATGTTGTAACATGTGACAGGATTTCCTTTTGAGACAGGGTCTCACTCTTTCGCCCAGGCTGGAGTGCAGTGGTGCAATCTTGGCTCACTGCAACCTCTGCTTCCTGGGTTCAAGCGATTCTCGTGCCTCAGCCTCCCAAGTAACTGGGATTACAGGCACCCGCCACCATGCCCAGCTAATTTTTGTATTTTTAGTAGAGATGGGGCTTTGCCATGTTGGCCAGGCTGGTCTCGAACTCCTGACCTCAGGTGATGCGCCCACCTCGGCCTCCTGAAGTGCTGGGATGACAGGTGTGAGCCGCCGCGCCCGACCTGTTACTCTGTTGATGTTCACTGGGTTGTTTCCACTGCTCGGTTGTAGTGAATAACGCTGCAGTGAACATGAATGTGTAAATACCTTTCCAAGATCCTACTTTCAAATTTTAGAAAAGTTTTAAAAATGTTTAATGTAGCCAGTAAGGTCTATAAATTGTATTCTGGCTTTCCAATTTTTAAACATATACCCCAAAATGGGTTTTCTGGATCCTATGGTATGTTTTTAGTTTTTGAGGAACTTCCATAGGAGCTGTACCATTTTATATGCCCACCAACAGTACAGAAGGGGTCGTTTCTCTCATCCTCACCAACAGTTGTCATTTTGTTTTGTTTTTCGTGGCCATCCTAATGGGTGTGAGGTGATGTCTCATTGTGGTTTTGATTGCATTTCTCTACTGATTCATGATGTTGAACATCTTTTCATATGCCAGTTGGCCATTTATATAATATATCTTCCTTAGAAGAAATATCTATTCAGGTAGCACTTAATTTTTAAAAATAAAGTATTTGACAGTAACATAGAGGTAAAGGAATCCAATCCACACCAAGAACCCACCACCCAGCTTCAGAATGAAAGCATTCCCAGAGGTGTTGGAGCCCTGGGTTCCCAGCCGGACCAGAGCCTGTGTGGCCAGTCTGCCAGGCTGGAACTCCACAAGCTGCTCCTGGGCTCCACATGCTGCTGCTTCTGGATCAGCCCAACCCCCGACAACCTTCCAGCCCTTAATGGAGACAAATACTTTTAAATTTCTAACAAAGAATATTTCCCATGATTCAACCTTCCATTTCCTGACCTTCTGTCCACTTAAAAAGCAGATTCCTGTTCTTCTAGGTTTAAATCTGGCTCTATTCTTCCTCACTCAGTGGCCTTGAGCAAGTCATTGAACCTCTCTGAGCCACAGCTTCTTTCTCTATAGAATGGGGATAATGATGATACTTTTGAAGAACAGTTGAATAATCCATGTCAATTGCTATTACTACTAATCTGGCTCTGAAGGGATAGCTGTACCCTGTTTGAGCAGTCAATTGTGTATTGTCTCTTATTTGTTTTTTATTTTTTTGAGATGCAGTTTCACTCTCTTGCCCAGACTGGAGTGCAGTGGTGCAATCTCGGCTCACTGCAAGCTCCACCTCCTGGGTTCACGCCATTCTCCTGCCTCAGCTTCCCGAGTAGCTGGGACCACAGGTGCCCGCCACCATGCCTGGCTAATTTTTTTGTATTTTTAGTAGAGACAGGGTTTCACTGTGTTAGCCAGGATGGTGTCGATCTCCTGACCTCATGATCCACTCACCTTGGCCTCCCAAAGTGCTGGGATCACAGGCATGAGACACCGCGCCTAGCCTGTGTGTTGTCTCTTAAAAAGGCTATTGTAGACCAGCTGACGTGGCTCCTGCCTCTAATATCAGCACTTGGGGCGGCCAAGGTGGGAGGATTCCTTGGGGCCAGGAGTTCGAGATCAGCCTCGTCAACATTGCAAGACCCTCTGTTTACAAAAGAGTCCCAGTCTCAGGAGACTGAGGCAGAAGGATCCCTTAAGTCCAGGGGCTCAAGGCTGCAGTGAGCTGTGATCTTGCCAGTGCACTCCAGCCTAGGTGACAGTGAGACCCTGTCTATAAAATACATACATACATACACACAGGTTACCATAGGTTTTGAAGAATGACTTGTATTTAAATGTATAGTGTCTGGGATGTGTGTGAAAGATTTATTTGGTCATTCATTCATACGCACAAATGGACACAAACCTAGAAAAGTATATTCTGCACCCCTAGATTTTTCCTTAGTGTGTCCAGTAGATGGGAGGCTGGGCGAGTAGATGAGATGGTTGGGGAGATGATGCGGTAGAGAACAGAATGTCAGGTAGATGGTAAACATCCCGTGGGCAGGTCTGAGGGGGGCTGAGAGTGGATAGCAAGGTGATTATCCAGGACACACGTCCCTGTATCAGTAGGTTCTGAGATGAACTGTTCTGTTTTTCTGTTCCAGGTAAAGCTTGAGAGCAACTTTGCCTCCATTGTATTTGCCATCATGGTGTTGGAGGGGCTTGGCCGCTCGCTGGACCCCAAACTGGACATCCTGGAGGCAGCGAGGCCCTTCCTCCTCACAGGCCCAGTGTGCCCTCCGTGATGGGGCAGTGGCCTGTGTGGGCCTTTGTCAAGAGCTGGAGGCCACTTCCAAGAGCCTCTCCTATGGCAGCTGGGATGTTTAAAATTGGGACACCAATTTCAAATGTGACCCTCCAGTGGTAGAAGGCACATCTTGGCTTCCTCCGCTTGGTTTAAGGGTCTGTTCAAAAGCTTTGGGCCAATTAGGGAGTAAAAGGAGGGAAGGGGCCTATCCATTCCATTGTGGAAGCTGGGCCAGGTGCCAGGGACACTCTCCTTCAGGGAAAATGTTCTGTGTAGGAGGACGAATAAATTTATTTTGTTTTCCTGTTTTTCTCTTTTCTTGACCCGCTGTACTCCCTGGTCAGGTGGGTCCTGCTGGTAGTTCCCAGACTTTGATATTTAGGTTAGAAAATGCCATCAAGTCCTATTGCTCCTTTGTGTGTGTGTGCGCGCGCGCACACACACACACACAATTTATGTATAAATTTCCTGCAGGTGCTACCTGCCAGCATAAATATACACTTAGGGCAGATTTCATTGTACTTCAAATTATCTTGTTGGTAATTTTTAATAGATTTTGCCAACTCCTTGCTAACTTTTATTATGAGGTAAAACAAAACTGATGAAAGTGGCTGACATACTGGGCACATGAGCAGAACAGCTTGGCTACTTCCTTAACATGGCCCCGGGTTCACACGCTAGTCTGGAACTACAGTTTCTCTGCCACAGTGTCTGCACCTGTCCACTTGCAGGCATTAATTTTGGTGAATAGGAACAGAGTTAATATAACCAGTATGTCCTCTTCTCCATGGCAGTGCCCGGGGCATACCTGCAGTGACCACTGCCTGCCCCTTTCCGCCAGGCCCAACCACGGGCTTTCTTCTCAGAGCTGAGCTGATGTGGCCGGCTGGCAGACTAGGAGGGGCCTGGGGGTCAGCCTGGAGGGGGGATATTTGTAAAGCTTAATATCTCTTTTTTTTTTTTTTTTTAGGTAAAATCACATTTTATCCCTGCACCTTCATAGATTATATTGCTCGTCTTAGAGACCACTAGGCAGCGAATGGAGTCAAGCCCTTGTGCTCCCCAAAAGTCCTACCCTGACCACAGGACTAGTTTCTTCCATTCTTTCCTTCTCCAGGATAAAGTTCCTCATTCCTGTCTTTCAGGGAGTAGTATGGTTTAGGTGGACAGAGATTCCTTTGGTGCCGTTTTTTTCTAGGGAGGTGATGTTATTTTTTCCTTCCCAGGTCTTGAGGGGGCGTTCAAGGCAGGCAGAGAGGGGTTGGGATAGCTCCAGATGGCTGGGGGAGAGCACACCAGCTGGTCACACAGTGCCCATTCAGGTACAGTGTGGAGGTACAGTGTGGAGGCGGGAGAGGGACAAAAAGACAGCAGTCTCCTGCCCCAGCCTATGCCAACACAGCCTTAAAGCCAGTGTATCGAATCAAGCCATTTGTGGCCTGTATTATCTATTGCTGTGTACGAACCATCCCAAAATATAGTGGCTTAAAACAACAGCATTTATTGTCTCCCAGTTTCTGTGGGTCAGAAATCTGGGTGCAGGTAGGCTGGGTCCTCTGGCTCAGGGTCTCTCCTAAGGCAGCTGCATCTAAAGGCTTCACTGGGGTGGATCTGATACCAGGTGAGCTTGCGGGGTGTGGGGCCCAGGGCCTCAGTTCCTAGGAGCTGTTACAGCAGCAATAGAAAAGGGGCACATGGGCCACTGCAGTGACTTATGCCTGTTATCCAGCACTTTGGGAGGTTGAGGCAGGCAGGGTACCTGAGGTCAGGAGTTTGAGACCAGCCTGGCCAACTTGGTGAAACCCTGTCTCTACTAAAAATACAAAGTCAGCCGGGCGTGGTGGCGGGTGCCTGTAGCCCCAGCTAATCGGGAGGCTGAGGCAGGAGAATCGCTTGGACCTGGGAGGCGGAGGTCGCAGTGAGCCCAGATCGCACTACTGAACTCCAGCCTGGGCGACAGAGTGAGACTCCGTCTCAACAAAACCTATAGGGAGGGGGAAATCAAGTGAACCTTTCAGAGTAGGGAATTAAGTCAACATAAAATTTTGTGAACAACCTTTTTTCCTCATCTCTTTGTTTTCTACTTCCAACTCCAGAGTAGCTTCTTGATTTGGGCTTAGATGCTGTATGTGAGGTCACCTAGAGTCTGTCCTCACAGTTAGTTAAAATTTGAATGGGAATCTTATTTGCATTTAGAAGCTGAGCGCTTGGTGGTAGGGCTTGGCATCCCTTACCTCACTTTCTGAAATACATCCGTTCAAATAGGGTGTTCATCTGATAACCAGAAGAGGGCCACGATTCGGTCTGCAAAACGCAGAAAGGGATATTTGCCCTTAGAGTTCTTAGCGAATATCTGGAAAACAAATAAGTATGCAAATAAGTCGACAAAAATAGCCACACTATTCCATGTCGACTGGAAAGTCAACTTTCATCCAGAAAACAGCGGATGCTGTCCTCTAATTTATACACTGTTCATGCCGGGAGCGGTGGCTGACGCCTGTAACCCCAGCACTTTGGGAGGCCGAGGCGGGCAGATCACCTAAGCTCAGGAGTTCGAGACCAGCCTGGCAAACATGGTGAAAACGCGTCTCTACTAAAAATACAAAAATTAGCCTGGCGCAGTGGCGCGCGCCTGTAATCCCAGCTACTCGGGAAGCTGAGGCAAGAGAATCGCTTGAGTTTGGGAGGCAGAGGTTGCAGTGAGCCGAGATGGTGTCATTGCATTCCAGCCTGGGCGACAGAAGAAGGCCTTGTCTCAAAAAAAAA